CTCAACTGCTAGGATGGCGGGGGCAGGAGATGCCTGCAGCAGCAGCAGGCTGCGAACTATACTTTTAAACAATCACGTTTAACTGCTGCTAAATACCTAAGAGAGCAAAATTTTCAAACCCAGGGCTAAGCAATGCAAGGGCTAGACAAACATCCAAGCAACAGCATCAGCCCATCCAAGGTAAAGAAGAGGTGTGAACATGAGGTATGGTGATGCTGTGCACAGAGATGAAGGGCCACCAGGGTGGGTACAGGCTACCAGACAGAGCCCGTATCCACATCTGCATGGGGTCACCCGGCTTATCACCTCCCTCTATCACTTGCCTGTTAAGCTATACCTTCTCTTCCTAGGTAAAGAACCTTCGGCTCTGCTGACTCTCACTGATTTGAAGGGAAAGGATGGGAAGAAGCCACGCAGGACAGGGTTTTTGAAAAGCCTCCTGCTACTCTGCTGCTGGTGTCAAAATTTACAGCAACCCATCAATTTTACCCACCAACACTGGCTATAAAGGCCACAGTTGACAACCTAAAGTTGCTATCCCTGATCGCTCCCTTAGTCAAGTAAGGACACCTGAAGATCGGCAGGCAGTTTTGCAGGGCAAGGGACGGTGGTGTTCAGCAGTTATCTCTGACATTGACAGGATGCAGCACTGGGACGTCCGTGGGCAGGCTGAGACACAGGGATAGCCCCTGCCTTGATGCATCTGAAAGTCATTCTGGGACGAGTTACACAAACCACTAATGATGTTTTCTGAGGTTCCAGAAAAGCTGCTTGGTTCTGATTTTTGCACTCAGAAACCCCTTTTCCACTCCAGCCCCAAACTGCAGGGGCTCTTTTATCAAAAATTAAGCAAGACAAAAAGGAGGACACAATCCTATCAGGAGTTTATTCTTTTAAAGATAGACCCAGGCAGTCCCTTGGCAATGACAAGCAGCAACGTCTTCCCCTACCACCTACCTGTAACTAGCTCTTCTGGCAGCTGAACGTTTGCCCTAACAATGCAATTCAGGCCACCCAAACTTGGACGCAACTTGAAGTTACTTGGAACTGCCTGTGAAAAGGAAATTAAGTAGCCTGGAAAAATAGGAATGGATATACTTTCAGATTTGTTCTCGCCCTAGTGGGTGAGAAGTTGCTAGGAAGGAACTGGTTTGGAATAGAGGTGCATGGGATCATCCTACTTACTCTTCAGAGGCCTTAATAGATGGTCCCACTGGTCAAGTAGAGTGCACTAAATAGACGGTGCACAGGAAATTAGCTTATGTCAAAAAAAATTACCACTTTGCTAGATCTCTACAAAGTACAGTCATGATGCACAGTATGCATCTCCCAGGGGAGAGATACAGGCAGCCAGATCACAACTCGCAGTGCACAATCCAGGATGGCATCTTGCAAACTTGCCTGCAGCTTCCCTTGACTAACTCAACATTTCACGTCGGTGCAGAACAGTGCATCCCCACTGCTGAAAAGGGAAGTGTGAGGGCACGGCTTGGCTAGTGTGTGATCCAGCCCTGCAAGGAGGCCAAGACCTTCTTCATCTGGTACGCATTTTCTAAAAAACACAAGACTAAAAAAAGCTGCAAAGCTCCCACAGAGCACAGAAAAGCAATAAGTTAAATCCTCCAACATGTCATGAAAGCCTTTCCTCCCTCCCTTCTGCCCTCCAGATACACTTCTACACCCCCCTGAACACCCTGCTCACTAACAATAGAAAAAATAATCTTCACCTTGCTTTGTACCTGTATATCTTCACCTCCTTCACCTGTCTCATCTTCCCTCCATTTAAGCAAATGGATGCTGGCTTTTTCAGAAGCCAGCCAGATACAAAAGAGAGTGAAGTCAAATTAGTACACTTACAAAGAAAAAACATAAAATCTTAGCTTAAGCTTAGTTATATCCATGGGAGCCATGAGCAGCAAGAGCAGTCGCAGGCCAGCACTTGAGAGCTGGGGCCAGAGTCAACTGGCAGGCAAGGCCAGGCCTGTGCTCTCCTCCACGGTGCCCAGCTTGGCCCACAGGGACAGCAAATAGCAGCACAGGAAGCAGGACTGCAGATAGGGCTGGTGTTCAAAGCTCAAAATCCAAAGTGGCCTGAAATAAACGCAATCTACCAGCAGCCAGATACCCCTGAGAGGGCAAGCAGCAACAGACCGGAAGTTGAGGAGATATTTAGAGCTGTTTGACACCACCTACAGCCCTCATAGACATTGCTTTCCAGAGCCTGAGACTTGGCAGGGCACTAGAGCATGCTGGAGAACAGCAAAGCACATTCACCTCGCAGCACTGACACAGGAGCCAGACGCTTTTCCGTCAGATGAAAGGGGAGCACTGCCAGCCCTCTACCCAGTCTGCAAATAACAAGGTGGAGGATGGGACATACCCGGCATGTGTCTGTGGCCTCTGCAAGCACAACTCCAGCCAGGCCTTTCGGGGAGGAGGGGTGGCATGGCAGCCTTTCTCTAACAACTAGCAGCATCGTGGAAATGTCTGCATTGTTGGGGTTAAAAGGTAGGCATTAAAAAAAACCCTGCCTTTGTAAGTGCCAGCCTAGAGGAAGAAGAAAAGCAGCATTATTAGCAAAGCAATAGACATGTATAATTAAGGACGCCTGCCACTTCCCATTATAGCTGATTTTAGGCACTAACTTGGATAAGAGTTGGCTGCAGTTTCCATGCTTTGTCTGAGCATCAGAATGAACTTCTTTTGTAAAGGTTTCTGATGTCTCTCAGAGTTGATCCAAAAAACGTAGGTTGTTCTTCCAGGGCCTGAAGACCTTATTAGTTTCAAGAGACAGCGTTGATGTCTCGGGGGCTTGAAATCAGGATTATTTCAAATAGGGAATCGCAGCGCCTTCAGTTGTCCCCACAAAAATTCACTTGAGCTTTATGAGAACTGGTGCGTGGTTGAACCTCCGCTCCAGTGATTCCCAAACCCCCACATAAATGAAAGGGTGAGCTCAGCCTACACTTTTGTGACACACACACACACACACACACCGTTTTGCAACAAAATCACAGAGCATGTTCTCCAGCTCCACCGCGCTCCCCCTTCAGTCTGGGGTGACCACACAGCAACAGACTCATCGTTACAAGCAGCCTCTTGTAGTCCCCTCCCCCGCACAAACACTCTCAGCCTTGGAGAAAAGCGCGCTGCACAAGACGCACAGGAGGCAGGAGCTCGGGTTTCCTCCCTACAGACTGCTTTGTTTGGGAGGTAAGCAGCTCTCAGACCAACAAATCCCAGCATCCACTGCTCTGCCTGACACTTGTAAACACGTTTAGCCATGAAAAGTCCTCTTAACACATTCAATTCACCTCATTTCCTTAGTCACAACCACCTTCACAACCACATCAGATGGGGAAAAAAGTCACTCTAACCATGGCCAGCAAGGACTTACTCTGAGAATATTTAAGAGACAATGTCCATCAACCCCTTCATTTTCCCCGGGAACATACCTTTTCGACAACAAGATGAATCTTTGGAACTAGACACCGAAAGGGCAATTTAGCTAACAATTAAAACAAGCACTGAGGAGAGGGACAAAGAATTGGTTACATCTGGTAACCAGGAAAGACAGGCATGGTACGGGGCTGTTCAGACAGGTGTGCTTAGCTATTTGGACCACTGCTTTGGGCTGCCTCTGGGTCACAGACTTACTGGAGCACTGGAAGAGACAGCCAGCTGAGGCAGCTAATGCAGACTTTCTGAGGGAAGGCAAGAGGAGAGATGTTGGGGAGAGAAGTCAGAGGCTGGGGAAGGCGATGAAAGTAAGAATAGAGACAGTGACCCCTGCCAGCTTAGAGAGGCAGGGGGAGAGGACTGGAAGACTTTGGAAAAAGATCAGGTTGAGAAGGCCTTCATTCAGAGGTGCTCCCACTGCCTGCTGAAACAGGTTCTCACAGTACTAATCCCAAATCAGAACCAGGTCTTCTGCATGAAGAGGATGTTCCACTGACAAGCTAGATACCTTTCGTGGTCAAGCCTACAAAGATCCTACCCCTGAAGGAAGGCTCTTTCCTTGTGGTCCCTCCTGCCTACTGATGTCTAATAGCCACCTCCCCTCCATCGCTGGTCTTCACCTCCCAGCGGGTCCCGCACCAGTGTCCACTTCCCCCACTTCTTGCACCATACTAATCCATGATTCCACCAGCTGCCAGAAACTCCCAGACCGAACAACCCTCCTGGAGCTTTCTTTCTACTCACGTTGGAACATAGGCTGAGCCAGGCTTTCCTTGAGCTCAACCCCAAAAGCCGAGCCAACCCTGCCTGGCCTGCCTTCCCCACAAGAGCAGAGGAACACTCTGGGCCACGGGCTGGAACAGCCTCTCCCACGTAGTTCTGTTTCCACAAAGGATTAGCCATACCAATACTGTGTACTTGGGCCAGATCCCCCTTTGCTAAGAGACACAATCAGGTGGACAGAATGCAAAGGCTGAAGGTACTTTGAGAAGTGCGCATTTTAATAATCACATTCATTATGGCTAGTCCTGGACTCCACTGCCACTAGGTGAGCAGCTGGCCTTACAAAACAAGCTCTCTGACTTAAATCTTTGAATTGCTGGAACCTCCAGTAAAATAGGAATTCTGGTCTGACATCTGGCACTCCACCCCCTTTTTGGTGCCAACTAACTATTGCTAAATACGGCAGCAGTACAAAGAGTTTGAGTTTAACCATTTCCATTACTTTACTCTCTGCACTTGGATGCTTTCAGATGCTTCCTTTACAGCAAGACAAGCAAGGGACACAACACAGGCCGGAAGGAATCAACATCACCCACTCAAAGCACACGCTTCCAGGGGAGCGGAAAGACAAGTCTGTAACTTAGACATGATCTGCAATGATTTCAAGTGTCTTCTGCTGCATGCTGCAGCAGCCGCCTTATGATTAATTGTATACATGGGAGAAAAAATCCAACATTCTTTTAAGTAATTTTTTCAGTGATGGGAATAAGCCTGCATTTTAACTAGCAGTTATCAAAATAAGACCCAGGTAAACTCAGTACTGTGTGGAAAGTGCGTTTATTCCAAAGTTAAGTTTTCATATAAAACAATGAACAGCAACATCAATCCTTACGCAGATCTACAACAGTCTTCCAGGCTCCAGGGCCGGGGGTCTTGAACAATTGCAACAAAGCACCAGGGAACCTCTTTTCAGAGTTATCAACAAGGAGTGGGGGGAGGGGGAAAGAAAACAAAAAGCAGACACGTTGCCAGTGGCATAATTCATGAAATTGCGCCTGCTCACAAGAAGGGAGAAGGTGTCAAGACACTTCGCAGGAAGCTTCATGTCTGCACAAAGATCTCACAGAACACCCTGCTCTCTGCAGGCTACTTGCCAAGGAGCAGCTGCCCCTGTCAGGAGAAAAGTGCATTATTCCTACAGACAGAGGACAGGACTGTTGAGTTTAATAATCTGCTGGATCGCTTCCAGGGACTGAAGTGGCTGAGAGGCCATGCTAGTGATGTGCTCGCTCATGGCCTGGAGCCCTTGCACTGGCTGCAGTGTGCATGTCTGGTCCCAACTGATGCCCTAGAGGGGTTTACCTTCTTCTTCCTGCCTTAGTCTCTTGGAGAGATGCTCACTGATGGCCATGAGTGGGTTGGCTTTGTAGTGGGGATTCGTAACGACCTCATGAAATCGAGCCATTTCTTCTTCTCTGGGGAAAGAAAAAAACCACATAAACACACAAACGGTAAGTGCCTCATGCATAAGGAACTGAGCAGATAAGAACAGAGCCCATACAGAGGTGAGTTTCTGTACAGACAGAATTACCCTGGCTGTAAACCTCAAAAAGAAATAGTGCAGGAAATAGGCCTAATTCACCCAAGGCCGAAGCTTAAACTGTTGCCAACTCCACGGGAGTCAGACGCTTGATCTCATGCCATAAAGGCAATCACATTAGTGTCCACCATCACTTGAAAAATTCTGAGCTTTCCCATAGTAAATCAGGAACAAGAGGCTAGGCATCCAGCAAGTTTTCTAAGAATGAAAACTACTTCAGAGTGCACTAGCACAAAAGCAGATTCTGCATGTAAGAGCTCATGTCTCTGTTTATTGCTCAACATAGCGACTTAGTAATCCTACCTGCAACACTACTTAGACACCATGGGAGGAACACGATAGAATTACCTCTGTATACTTGGGTCACAGCTGGTCGCTGTGGAAATGATCTTGTCTTAAAAAGCAAGCAGGGCTATTGCTTCAGGAGAAGGACAAGAACAGAGCAGAAAGAACGTAAAACAAAACCAATAAATAAAAGGTTGAGTTTTCATATAAGCCACTTCCACTGTGGCTTCCCCATCTCCTCCAGACTCCCAGGAACCACAGTCTTCAAACAGCTCAGATCATACAGTAGGATACATGCTAGCACTCAGCACAGGTAGCCAGTTTCGTGCAGAGGGGGAGACAGGAGGAGATGTAGGTGATCTCACACCTGCTTGTTGATACAGAAGATGGTGGTGAATTTGCCCATTCAGTTCTCGATTTGTAAAGTCCCAACTCAGGAAGCATTTCTCAACTACAAACGACCTCCAGTACAACGGCACATCGGTGGCGCTGCAGGCCATGACCCTTGGGCTTCTGCAATAAGCCAAGGAAGGATTAATCCAGAAAGGCAGAGATGAGCAAAAAAGTCATTCCAGAAAGGACACTTGCCAAATGTGACTGACCAATAAACCCCTACAATGAAAGAAGGCTCAGAGAAGGTGGGCAAGGTGCCCATGAAACTCAGAAATAACGTAGGGTGTGACTCATTAACCACAGTTGCTGCACAGAAAGCTGTCTTTAGCTCAACACAAAGGGGACCTGAGAATGACCTTTGTTTTAGATAAGCAGCTATATCAGTTGTGTGGATCAACTGGTGTAAATGTTTCTCTGCAAGACAGACAGACCAGCATGGAGGGGAAACGTATAGGTGGCTCAGCCCAACATAGAGTCTAAAACCTCAACAACTAACAAAAGAATTTCAAAGAGAGCAACAGGCTTGAGCTGGCTTCAACCCACATATTCCTTCCCGGCGATAGGGGACACCCAGCGTTGTGACGCTGTGAGCATATTATAGAAACTGGTAATGGGATTCACAATGGTATTGTGATTGAGCTGTATATTGTAATTCCTATATTTTGCTAAGTGCAACTTAGGCTTATATTGTGATTTCAGTCTATTGCTGTATCACTGCTAAATCAAAAATCCTGTGTAACATCAAACATCTTCAAAGTTATTTTTGATATTAAACATTACATCCTCCATGAGTGGAATATCTAAAAGAACCTGGTCAGAGAGTACTGGACTCTGACACCAGTTCCACGCAGAGGAGGATATTCACTGAGTGCGGTTAAGGGAACGCTGGGATCCATAGACTGACTTGTTCACCTCAGTACCTGAAGCTGAACAGCCTAGAATTGACAGACAAACCTCTAAGCGCAGGTCACAGAAAGCAAAGATTGCCAGATGACAGCGCCTAGCTCCAGGAGAGCTGTGCTGACGGGAAGTGAAGTTCTTGCTGCCTGCACACGGTATAAAACATCTAGTAGATTATAAAGGAGCAAGAAGTTACCAGCCACTTAATGAAGTCCAAGAATCACTCAAAAGCATTCAGTGCTTCACTCTACAAGAAAAGTTGTGGCATGTGCCGATACACAGCAGTCTCCATAAAGGATGTAAGGCACGTCAGTCATCCTTCCAGAGGTGTTCCAACAGAGCACTGTAGCTCCTGACGTTATGCAGGGATTCAGGAGCCCCTCCCCTATACAACCACAGAGGGCGTTTCTCCAAGGGTATCAGCTAGAACTAGGTGGGCCTGGCGTCATAGGAGACTAAGTCACAGCAGGATGTTGGCAGCTCCAACTCAGAAAGCTGAGAGAGAAGGGACGCACCCCCTGGTTTATAAAGACATTGCCTGCGTCACACAAAGGGACACAGTACAGGCATGCTCACTTTGCAGAGTCAGAATTCAAAGGTCTCCAGTTAAGCAGTACTGGCTGCAGGAGGACCTGCAACACAAGTGTTCCCAGAGAAGCAGAAGCACTCATGGCACAGTGGGACTTGAATCAGATGTCCCCATAAGTGGTGACATGGAGAACCAGAGAACAGAGTGGCAATCCATCCCCAAAGACAACTATGGTCAGAAGGGACAAGATGACATTCTTCTACTGAAACCCTAGAGAGATACACAGGAGGCTCAAGCTAGCAATTTCTTTTCAATGAGACCAGGAAGGTGAATTATTAAAGGAAGTAACCCCAGCTTCCTGGGCTCTCTTCACTTAGATATTGTGCCAGACAGAAGCAGAAGTGGACCAAATCCATCTGGAATGGACTGAGTGACAGAAGGGCACCCCCAAATACGCTGCAGCACACAAAGGGGAGGTTCAAAGCTGCAGTCTGCCACCTCTCTTCTGAGGCCTGCAGGTGGGCAAGGTTTATGTCAGCACTAGGTATGTGGGCTCCAGTGCTGGGCCCAAACCCAGCTAACCCATTGCTTGTCCTGTCTCAGACAGCAAGGCAGAACAGGCATCAGATCTGCCTGTGCTCATGCACCCACTGCACTGTGCAAGCAAACAACTTGGGAAAAGCTGCACCCATAGGGGAAAATCGCATAGTTCCCAAGTCACCCTCAATCAGAAGATTAGAGAAGTCCATGCATCTCTCAAAAGGCAGCAGCATCTCTGAACACATAAGGGTGTACTAAAATACCAGAAAAAGTCCAGCAAAAAAGGCAACATTGAGAGGACCTATGGGGAGCAGGGACCGGATACTCTGGTAAGTGATACTTACAAGAGCCTGCGTTTCTGAGCTGGTTTCATGAGACAGAAGTCTGTTGGTTCCGCTTTTGTTTTCACATGGCTGTGGAAAAAAAGATACAAACAAGTGAGTGAGTGAGTGTTACAGAGAAGAGGCAATTTAGCAATCGGTAAGGAGACGAAAAGAATCCAGTGATTCTGAACATGTCTTCCAAGAATGTATAGGCAATCGCCCTGCACAGAAATTGCCCTGAAAAGCAATTATTTCCATAGCCAGACAGCAAGGGAAAAGCAGACTTTCTGCCATACACTAACAACAGCTCAGGAATCAGGACTGAAAGGGCAAGAGGTAAATGCACTTGAAAAAAACATAGGATCACTTACCTCTAGAACTGGTCATTAGCTGCCCATTCCTGGATCACTTTCTGCTTATCACTAACTTCCAGATCCAAGTGATACCATTGCTTAGAGAAGAGATCACTGAACTTCCCTTCCCTCCTAATCTAGTGTCATCCTTGCTCATCGCACATTCCTTGCCAAACACTACAAAGCTCCAGCATCAACACACATCAGTTATAGACATCACCACAGTTACTCAACAAGGAAGAGATGCTGCCAGCCTTGCTACTGACCAGCTCTGCTTCAGGTCTTGCAATGGGGCCATTAGGGTATACGGTGCCACCTATATCTTCAGGTAATGAATATTCCTTTCTCCCTATATCTTCAGGTAATGAATATTCCTTTCTCCCTATGAACACATAAACTGGCAAACCTTTGGCTAGAAGTCAGCTGCAAATCAGTTAGCTAAAGGGAAAGCACAGTAGAGCTTCAGCTTTTACAATGAAACGTGGAATCTAAAAATTCCCATTAATATACAATAACAGGATGATGCATAATGTGCAGCTGAGGCACAGGGGGAAGCATAGATCTACACTCTCCGCACCCATTTCTTATTTCTGGGTAAAGTCCAAGGAGACCAAAGGCGTGTCATCCCAACCTGCACAGGACACTGCACTGGACGCATGTGCTGCCTTATGCCAACCAGGAGCAGAGATATACCATAAAAGCCAACCCCAGAGCCCAAGAAAGGGACATGCAGAAAGGGCCATGCAGAAAGGGCAGCAGTTGCTTTTGGGACTTCAAGTGCACTAAGAGAGTTGCTGGTATAACTGGACATAAAGAAACAGAGAAGCAACTTCCACCCTTTGGGATTGCACGGATATAGAGATGAACAGGTGAAGCAAGGGGGAAAACAGTTTCAGAAGTGCAGCAGGAAAAAAAGTCACCAAATTGGAACAGCTAGGAAACAGCAGCAGTAGGCGGACATCAGAGCTTCTGTGTACAAGTGCTGTGAGATAGGAGAAAAGCGGGACTTGCCTGGGAGGAAGGCGGGGTCTGGCTAAGAGAAGAACTAATAAGGGGCAGCCCAAGGCAGTGATTGCACTGAGTTGAATACCTACAGATGCTCCTACAAAAGGATCCTATGACATAAAGCTCAGAGCAACATGGCTAAAAAAATAAACCATTGAAAATATGTATTATTGGAACAGGGCTAGTCTTGGTAAGAACACTTTGCAAGAGGTTTCTTGCTCACAGGAAGAAGTTTCTGGTCAAAGTTCTACTGTAGCCCCCTTCAGAAACAGCCATGAACTGTGGCTCGGCCCAGTTCATCAGCCCAGCGGATTAGGCAGTCTCCATGAACGCAGGGGAAACCAGTTCAAGCTTTTCCTCTGCTTACCAAAGGGCAGGACCCTGCTCCAGCACAAAGCATACCTACCAAGCTCTCAGCCTGGTCAGAGCAGGGCCTGCTGTTGCATCTCACTAAGTGCAGATTAGCAGGAAAAAATTAATTGCCAAATGCTTTCAGAGAATAGGGTGGGAAGCAACTTTCCTAGTTATTCAATGGCACCTTAGCACATGAGCACAAGGAGATAGATTCCCCACAGAGCAGCTCCCCTCCAGCTGACTGGGCTCACGATTGCAGCATCTGGATCTGAGACAAGCAATGACACGTCAGCCACAGCAGGCAGCGCCTGCGAATGAGCGAGGCTCAGGAGCACCTTGCCAGCACCTGAAGCCAGGGACCAATCTGTCCTGGGGCCAGTCCCAGCACCTCCCCGACCTGATCTGTCCTAGAGCTCTTCAGGTCTCTCAACACTAGGAAAAACAAGTCTCTCAAGTTCTCTTCAAGAGAGCAGGATCTGACGTCTTGCTGGCAGCATTACAGCAACCTCAACTCCTCCTTTTCCTCTCTGACCCTCTACCCTCCATCCTTTTAGTCTATTTTTCTCCATCCTTCGTTCCTTCCTCCTCCCCTGCCTCACATTCCTTTACCCTACTCAGTTTCATCTTCCCTCTCTCCTGATCAATTCCTGCTCTTTTTCTTCAGTTCTCCCCCTCCCATCCTGACCCATATCAGTTTTCCTCAAGGGGAACCCTGGCAGACCCAGGCTGATGAGGGCTGCTCTCACCACTACTCCTTTCACACCTGATTCACCTTCTGCCCAGCACTGCATGCCCCAGCATCCAAACCCCCCTGCCGAATCCAAACAACATGGATGTTTGTTAGCGAACACTGCAGCGCGGAGGCTACTCAGGAAACGGGAGCCAGGTAGGATCAATGCCTGCATGCGGCTCGCTCACCCTTCTGCCCCTGCCGAGGTCACCGTGGTACTGCTGGTGTTATGTAACAGGCCTGAGAGTTCATGAGGCACGGCAAGCAGCAAGAGCAGATAAACTGCTACCGGAGTTTGAGCAGCCTCCCCTCATGCTGCTCTATCCACTGGTATTCACTACACAGCAAGAGCAGGAAACATCTCTACTCACTTTATGTTCATTAGCTATTTGGCACAGGAGCAACTTCCCAGTCACAGCCCGTTTGCCTGGATCATTCAAGGCAGCATAGAGAAATCCCTTCCAAAGTCAGATGGCAACCCACAATCACCAGAGTAGGGGTGTGCAAAACCTGTGTGTGCCCCCAAGTCCCCATGACAATTTTTTCAAAGGGAAGTAGGTCTCAAATAGCTCTGCAGAGGGTAATCTTGCTGAAAGAAAAGCCTTTCTAGAGTATACCACTGGGCCCTACAAGTTCATGTGTTCCAGAGACTGTGCCTCTCAGGACAACTTCCTCTAGGACACTCCACAAGGCTGCAGGACTGCTTTAGGGTGCCAAGTTCACTTGTGCTTTTGGGAAGAGCCACATCACCATTTAAACAGGTTCAATGCTTCTGAGGGCTTTTCAGTTCCACACAACACCTCTGCCCCACTGGTTTGGCAGGCTCGAAAGGCTGCTGTCTGAATTTCCCCTAACAAATCACCAGGACACTGCCTGCTCACTCGGACTGTGAATGGTAGCCCTGTTTCATTACACTTCATTGCCTTCATTTATTATAAATCAGAATAAAAAACTCACTGTAATGCTCTCTTACCCAGCAGGAGATCAAATTCCTGGAGAATCTAATCTTTTATTAATAATGCTGACAAATCACCAGAGTATTACCCTTCATTTATGTAATGATGCAAATCCTATAAAAGCCTCCTCTGATTATTTCAAACGGTTATGCACACGCATCCTCATGCAGCACAGGAAGCCACAAGCCAGCAAGGGGATTACTCTTCCATGGAGGGAAGAGCACCGTAGCTCTTCCATCCCAGGTGCAAGAGGGACTGATTTTTGGTTGACATGTCACAGGCAATGTCAGTCCACGTCAGGCTCCCACATGAGCTGTACTGACTGCAGACGTTGCTGACCATGGCAGACAGTGCTGGCCAATCCCACATTTCTCAGTCAGAGCAGTGCTTCTTTAACCCACTGTGCCCTGGTCCCACTGGGCTTTCTAGATATTAGAGCCTTGCAGCCAAAGTGAAAACAGAGCCAGAAGATGAGCTCAGTCTTCCAGAAGAGAAGGCCTGCCACACTCCCACAGGAAGATCTTGGAGAGGCAGAGAAAGAGATGGAGCTGACAGCACTGCTCTGAGGATGTCAGGCTAAAGGTTTGTGTAAGACCACCAGAAGCTCCTATGCATGCTGCACATCCTTTGCCATAAAATATATTATAGAAATAGAAGAATGCGTGTAGTGGGTCAGATGGAGGGACCATTTTGGCCCATATTCTGTTTTAAAACAGCCCATAGCAGATGGCCAAAGAAGAGTATAGCAGTAGGGATTTTCTACATCTTTGCCAGCATCTGCTACTCAGAGACTTGGAGCCAGATGCAGCATCTATGCATGCAGTAATCCTCAGTGGAGTTCTCCTCACTGGATCTGTCAGGTCCTGTGTGAACACACAGGCTTCCCACAGCCATGCCATCCTGCAGCAAGGAGTTGCTCAGAGCACAGAGACTCCTTGTGTTAGGACTGAAGCTGCTATTCATTAGCTGTGTTAGATGCTCCTAGTCCTCATACTGGCAAAGAGGATGAACTGCTTCCTATGCATATCACGCTTGACTTTATAGACTATTACATTCTCAATCCTCCTTACCTCTGCCTCCTTTTGAGGCTGAGGACTCCCCAGCTCACTCAGTCACCCCTTGTATAGAAGCTGTTTCAGACCTTTGACCATCATCCTTGTCAACTTTCTCTGAACCTTTTCCAGTTCTACTTTATCTTTTGAGAAGGCCCAAAATTGCAAGTTGCAGGGACACCAGGAATTCATACTAAATTATGCAGGCACTAAGGGAAAGA